ACAAATTGCATTGGGAAAATCTGAGGTCAGGAACCTCTCCAGATTGCTGAAAAGCTACAATGTCAGTCTAGAGACTAAGGTGTGCCTAATCCAGGTCATGGTATTCACAGCACCCTGGGTTAATCTAGACCCCAAATATCTGTCCATCAGTCTTCTCTGTTACAATTTGAGAACCTCAATCAAGAGTCAGAAACTAACCACTCTCCTTTGAAATTTGAAAGACAGAACAACAAAAGTGTGAGAATTAATAAAGACCATCAAATGTAATAACTCCTGTTTATAGGTAAGGAACTTTCAGCAGTTCCTACAATGGATTAATAACAGATTCAGGATCAAAACTTGGCCTCTAAACCCAAACAGTTTTTATTTGTATAATTGTATCATCTGATTAAAAAAGACCTCAACACCTATGAAATCAAATTTTCAAAGTAAAATATAAAAGAGAAAGAGTTGATATAATAACAGAGTGAAGATCTTAGTAACCACTAGAAAGTTTAATAGTTTAATAACACGTTAGTGAAGTCAGCCTTTCTGATGGAGTCCACAGTTCTTTAAACTTTATCATGAGTGGTAATTCTCTGTATTGCAAGTCTCAGAAGACATCGTGAATGCCACATTTAAGGGCCCATTAAATAGAAACACTTTGAGTTTTCTATGTGTAAAAGAAGCTTTTTAATGGAGGATATACAAATTAAGTTTCTCTAAGGTTGTAACTAAGGAACTTTATCATAACTAAGGACATTATCATAGGGAACTGTGCTGTGAATGTGCAGTCCATGTCTCTAGCAGTTCAAATCCTCCAGTGACTCCTTGGAAGAGAGACGAGAAAGCACTTCTCATATTATTTACAGCCTCAGAAAACCACTGGAGGGTCAACCATGAATGTGTTCCAACCTAACTGTAATAACCTTTGAGTTTAAGGTCATTACTAAAGTTCATTCTATATTATAACAGTAAGGTTGGAGCATTAGGCAAAGAGATAGTACAGTAATAGCTAAAAAGTAGGATATTCTCAATGAATATCCTTCAAACTTCTCCCAAATAAAATCTAATCAAAGCACACATACTTAATTTTAGTTTTATTACTTATACTATCTCATATATTCCTCTTTCAGAGGTGGGAGTAATGATAAGGCCAAATAATGAGAACATGATACAAATCAAAGATGTTGTTGTTGTTGTTGTTATGTGCCATCGAGGCGTTTGCGACTCATAGTGACCCTATGTACAACAGCCCTAAACCCTGCCCT